ATGATTTCAAAAACTTCATGTAACTTAGTATTTATTTTTGTTTTTAAAGGAACACATTTGGGAAAACTAAATGATCAGCCACCTATAGAAACATTTTAAAAGAAGCACTGATAGAGATATAGCAACCTAACCCAAAGAATTTTCCAACATTAACAATATGTCTTTTGTCATGTGAAAGTCATGTCTCTGATGTTTTATCTTCCACATCTCTTTAAAACTTACTATTTTTTAATAGGTAATTCAATGAACTTCACCCTTACCCTCACTTCTACGTGATTTCCATGGCATGTTTGTAATGGAAAGTTCACTTACTTCCTCTAGTTAGCTTTCTTCAAACTTGAAAATATCTGACTTTTTCTAAATCAGTTTATTATGTCAACAACTCCTTTTGTGATATTATTCTTCTATTCTAGAAAAACTTTATTACTTTTCTCTTTCTTCAATCTATTCTACAAATCTGTTTCTCATCTGCTCTTTTATTTCCTTCTGAAATATTTCAGTTACCAATTGCTGCAATTTCAATTACCACTCTTAATTTCTTGTCACTCTATTTAAGGCAAAAATCATGAAAAGTTAAATTTATTGTAACAGTGTTGTAGCTACTCTTTCTACCTTAGTCATTCCCTTTCCAGCTTATCCTGTGTCTTTCTGCCAGAATTATAGAACTCTCTCTCCATTATGATAGAAAATTGATTGATTGTTTAATTAACAGAGATTATATGTAGTATATTTGTTTGCAGTGAACACAATATCCTAATTAATGTCCCTTGACTTTAAGCTATTTTATTAGAAGTACTACTATATACAAGAAAGCATAAATTGTGCTATAATGATTCATCACTCCTGTGAAAATTTTGGCATGTATAAACTACAGGCAGATATAATGTTTACATAAGATATGTGTGTTTGAAGGATTGAAATTATTTGCTTGAAAACGTTCCATAAATAATAAAAAAACAACAATATTTGGTTACTATAAAAAGGTTTAAAATGTCCTGTTTTTTGAAACAGATATTGATTACTATTCTTTCAGTCCCCAACCATACTGTACAATTCTTTCTTGATAGAACCCATATCCCTTCTAGATGCAGAACATTTCTAGTTCATTCTTTCTCAGCTTTTCTTTCAGCCAGAGCATATGCAACATGACACAATTCTTGCCAATGGAACCTTAAGAAAATCTGTGAAAGGATGGAGTTTGTTATAAAGATATCCTTTCTCAATAAAATAAAGTGTACACAAATGTACACAGATGATATGATCCTTTAATTCTGTCATAAAAATGTTGGTATGGGAGGATATGCTTCTTAGATCTGTGGGGTTCATCTTGCAAATCAGAGTGTGGTTGATAGAATGGAATGAAGGATAAAACTGGGTCATTGAGATATTTATTCATTAGTATCACCCTCCTACTACCTTTCCTATAGACTTCTTATATTAAAAATGTATTAATAGTTAAGAAAATAGTTCTTAACTATTAATTAAATAGTATGTTACTTGTCATCAAAAGCTTCCCATCTGATGTGTATCTGTACTGCTTTCTCTATAGGACCTACCAGTGTTTTACAAATTTACTAAGGAACAGTTGCTCAATTACTAAATATATCAGTCTTTAAAGTGTTTATTTGTGAAATTATTGTCCTTGGATAGGACAAAAGTGGAATCATATAAGTAAAAAAATTTTTTTAACAATTTGGCACAATCCTGTGCTTTGGCAGAACTCCACAACACTAAGGTTTGTATAAACAAGTCTTAAAAAAATTATGGCATTTATGCTATCATCAATATGAACTTTAATAATATCTAGAATTATGCACCAGTACCAGGCTTCCCACCTGGGATATGACCCACTAGGGAAGTAAAATTTCATAGCTTCATGATTAATATATCCTTATTTTCTTATTATAAATATTCTTCAAAATTTCTCTACTTGTTTTCTCTCTTGCTAGAGTGTCACTGTATTATAAATTAAATTCAAAGACAATGATCTGTAATATTTTAGGAATAGTCAAATACATAGACAAAAAGTTTATGATGTTTAAGAAGAATAATCCTTAGGAAATCTAGTGTTTATTATTATAAACTTAAGTCATCAAAAAAGACTACTCTGTCATCCTCTGAAATGTTTAGAGGTCCAGAGATCTAACAGAAATCATATCAAATATATTTCATCAAGTGGGAAATCATTTCTGAAGTATTGCTTTTCAATATTATGCTGGCTGGTCTTTTAGCTCTCCACAAAATGTGATTTTTTAAATATTCAATAATGTGTCTTACTATAAGATTGCACTACATTTGGTTAAGTTGCTGGCAGAAAGGTAGTTCCATGGCTAAAATAATTTTACAACCCACAAAACTGCTTAGGAGCATTGAAGCTGTCTACACTATCTGACCAAATTGAGGTTTCAATTTGCAAACACAGCTGGAAACCTTTGAAAGCAACTTCCAGATGCCATGACAGAGCCCCTTCCAGATTTTGAACAGCTCCTATCAAAATGACAACTGGGAAACAGATCCACTATGCCTCTGGGAAGTGGAGTTTGTTTCTCATCTCATAGCTGCCAATTGCAGAGGTCCCATAAGCCAAGACAGAGACTTATAATTATTATCTGTACTTTGTGATCCTACTGGGTTTCAGAAGCTGCTGAATCTCATTAGTGCAGCAGCTCTCTGATTCTGGTAACTATATCATGTAAGAAATTACTTAGCATGCAGAGGTCTGGGACCCAATTTCAGATATTTGATCCCATATAGCAGAGATATTTGAGATATAGGACCCAGCGGTATGAATTTTTAAAATGCAAAGCAGGAGAGGAGATTCTGATACTGATTGTCCAAGGATTGGACTTGGCTACACAAATTCTTAGTTAGGAAGTAGCTGGGGCAAAAAGGATAAACTAAAATTTGGAGCGATTTGGGTTACCATTTTTGAGCATTTTCACGTTTTCACGTTCATTTTCATTTTTTTCCATCTCATATTACAGGCAAGAAAGGATTTTCAATTTTGATGATTGTAGAATAGTACATATCAAACTAAACCTTCTCAGACATAAAAATTATAACTTTGAATAAACTGTTAAAAGCAATGCCTTTAATACCCTAGAGAGTGAAGAGCAGTAGACAGAAACTGGAGGGTATTCAAACCTTGAAACAAAGGAACTGCATTGAATAACATTTGTGTTCTATTTCTTATTAACCAATTACATTTCCCAGGTTGTCAAGCAATGGGCTGTTAGAATTCTTGCAGAAATCCCAGGCTTTCTGGTTTAAAGAATTAAGATAAAGGCAGTTGTCAGAGTTGCTGGAAATAAGGTGAAGGAATCTTAGGAAAGAGGGAGTCACAGAAGGATTGCTCAAAAATTAGCATATAAACTCTGCTCAAACATCTGGTTTGCTCTTAAACATTGTATACATGAGGAAGACTCTAAGCAATGTAGTAGAATTCAGGGGAAATTGAAGGCTGAAAGAACTCAGGGGAAATTTAAGCTATAGTGGAAAAATTTAGTGGACACCAATTTCACCGAGTAATTGAAAGCAACATTACAAACAAGAGAAGCCATCCCTAAAGGCCTTCTCATACTACACAGTGAAAATTACATTTCACTTCTGGGTTAATTCTGCTCAAAATTCATAATCTGAGCCTCATAGCAGAGAAGCAGTAGATGAATTTAAATAAAGGGCATTCTATAAAATATTTGGCCTGTACTATTACAAAATATCAAGAAAGAACCAGAAAGGCTGAGAAAGTTACAGATTAAAGACACGCCTAAGTTGATATCAACAGTGAACCATCCTTCTGTGATGCTATCTGAGAAGAAAGTTGGGGACTAAGGATTTCATCCCCTTTACAAGGTAGCCAGTCCTCCCTCATGACTGATGCTCCTCCAGTGAAACACCTCTTTCCTCCAGGCTGATGTCAGCAGTAATGAGGCCACCCACACCCCAGTGTCAGTGGAGGCCTAATGGGAAGCTAGAAATACCAATTCTGTCCAATAGTAAAGAGGAACCCATGCTTCAAGAATCAAAGGAAGCCCCATAGGGGAATCTGGACTTAGATTCCCTACTGACAAGAATGATGTTTCATCCTTTCCCCTGCTAAAGCAATGTCAGACAAAAACAAAAAACAAAAAAAAACATACAAACAGAAAGTTTAAATAATACCTATACTCTTATAATGTAATACCTAAATGTCCAGTTTTCAACAGAAAACTACTCTTTAAACTAATAACCAGAAAGATCATAAACTGAATGAGAAAAAGGACAATAGTTATCAATTGAACTTCATGAGTCTTCTGATGGTAGGTCACAGAACACTAACACTCAATAGACAAGAAGCAAACTCCTTTGTTACAGAGCAAACCAGAGAAGCCTGCTGTGTGTGTGTGTGTGTTGGGGGGGGTGTCACACAAAGGGTTTATCCAGGGTCAAGGTGAAAGAATTAGTGAATATACTAATTGGTAAATAGGACAGCTGACAGAGTAAGCAAGGTGGAATTACTGAGGTTTCCCTCAACTCAAAATGAACTAGCTAGTTTAAATAATTTCACGGGCCACAGGGCATAAGGGCTGTCCCTATGTATTCGGTGCATGAGTATAAACATCTGACAAAGGTGAACAGAAAAGAGTAGGATGCATTTGGAGTATATTTAATAGGCCTTATAGAATAGGAGCCTGATGAGGGAATAGTTGAAGTAGGTGGAATGAGAGTTTAGCAAACAGACAGTGAAGGGGAACTGAGAGATTTTAATGACTTAAAAACTGTATCAAGACAGCATTTGTGAGATGTTGCAACAAGAGTTAGAATAGAGAAAGAATGCACTCAACCCCTAAGCGTAGCATATTTTGCAATGTTCTTTGAACCTACTAGGTTATCAACTAATGCCAGTGAACTGATGAAACATTTAAAGTGCATATTATGTTTGTTTTAGTCAGTTCTTCTGTAACTGAAAGATCTGACCTGAACAATTATAGAGGAGGAAAACTTATTTGAGGGCTCACAGTTTCAGAGGTCTTAGTCCATAGAAGGCTGGTTTCATTTCTTGGGGCTCCAGATGAGGCACAGCATCATGGCAAGAGAGCATGGCAGAGGGAATCAGCTCACATCAGGAAGCAGAGAGCACAGACTCCACTCTCCAGGTACAAATACATACCCCATAGTCACACCCCCAATTAACCTCACCTGCCTCCAGTTACCACTCAGTTAATCCCACCAGGGATTAATTCAATGATTGGGTTAAGACTCTCACAATCCAATCATTTCTCCTCTGAATTTTCTTGCATTGTCTCATATGTGAGCTTTTGGGGGACATCTCATATCCAAATCATAATAATGTTGAATGAAATAAACTTTGAATTTAGGTCACATAATCAAAGCATTGGCACTGAAGAACTCACCTCTGTGCTCTTCAGTTCATACATTGCTGGGGCAAGACACAGCTGATAATTGGGCACATTAATCTTTTGGTGACAGGCTGCTGTTACTTAGCACTTATTGTGTCTCCAAAGAACCATTCACAGCTGTGAGTTCATTCTCTCACAATAAAGAGATATGAGATAAATAAACTCTTGTATTATAAGGTCTATAATTTTCTTGGAAATAACTTGTAAAATAATGCTCATTGGTCTAAAGAAAGAAGATTAAGTCTTCCTAAAATGTTCACAAATGATGATTTCATCTTAATGAGAGGAAGTTTGGAAAAGGAAATGATGTCTAAGTCAGGACACATGTAATTTGGACCTATTAATCACTATTTATATAACATCAAGCAAGTTCTCACTGTTTCTGGGTTACATTTTTTTCACTGAGAAAATAAAATACCTATAAGTAATGGTGAGATTGGTAGGAATAAGAAACTAAAGTGAGAAATAGGTTTAGACAGTGAATAATTTGCAAATGTCTTTAAGCAAATGTCTAATTTCAACTGTCAGTTCTATGGTTGTTATCACAGACAGCAGTAGACATAAGAAAAAAGAACACAAACTTACACATTGGGCTTAATTGAAAAATAGTAGGAAAGAGCTCTAAACTCAAATAATTGCCAACATTAACAAACCACAGTATTAACTACTCAAGTATTCCCCTATAAAATGCAAAGACTACTGGGAATGGTAAGAGAGAATGCCAGAGTTGATCTACTGCTCTTTGGTCTAAACTCATTTATAATTTTCACTTATTTACTTGAAGCAACTACTTAATATACATAGTTTTCTTTAAAAGTGTGTATCAAGGAGTTGGACAGATATTCAGCCAGAGAAGCTGTAGATATTTTCACCAAGTATCACAAAGTGTGTTAGGGAAACAATACTTGTTCATAAATAGCTATAATTCAAGGTGGAAAACTGTAAGAAGACACTTCAAAACATGGAAAATCATACATGGTTCTGTCTTGTGTATCTACTTGAAAAATGCTAATATCTATCCATTTATACACCTATGTAGATAGGCAGATATAGATATATAGATAGAGATATCAACAGCATAAACTCACCAGTAGATAAAAAGGGCAATGTATCATAACCGAGTCAGGTTCATTTCAATGAGTGAAATGTGGGTTTGCATCAGAAAATAATGCAATTCACCAAGTAATTAAATTAGTGAAACAAACAGACAAATACGACGTGAAACTCTAAATAAATTGTATAAATTAGTAAAAAATTAATAAAATATTATATAAATAACACTGTTCTCATAAAGGGGTTATTGTTGGAGCCGTGGCAAATGTCTGTAATGCCAGCAACTCAGGAGGTTGAAGCAGGAGGATCACAATTTCAAGGCCAAACTTGACAATTTGGGGGGATCCTGTCTCAAAATCTAAAACAAAGGGCCAGGGGGCTGGAGATGTAGCTCAGTATTAGAGCACCTCTGGGTACAATCCCTAGTGATACCCTCCCACACAAAAATATATGGTCAACATAACTACCCTAACTGTTGTCTGCTATTGTGATCTTCTTCCAAAGAAAACAGTATGGAAAGGAAGCTGAAAAAGAGTAGCATTATAAAAGGAACTTGACACACGCTGGCACCCAGGCAAGCAGGTTAGGATCGTCAGTGGGGAGTTGTTTTGTTAATTAAAGATTTCTAGCTTTTAGACAAATTCTTATGTGTGATTTTTCGAGCCCAACCACAGGCAAGTACAAAACCTTTATCTGGCAGTCCTGAGGGGCAGCAGCTGTCCTCCTCACAACAAATCAGGCACAAATAGTGTCCTACACAATCTCCAAGGGAAGTGGACAAGGACTTAGGAGTCCTTGACTGGCCATCTTATACATACCTGCTTTTGTAGTCCAGGGAACTCCATTTGAAGATTTCCTGAGAAGGAAACCTTGAAAACAACTTTTCCATTCTGACTCAATATTTTTCACTCCCAGCCTACGGCTTGCCCTCAATCCTTGAGCCTCTCCCTCTGTAAAATTACAGGAGCATTTTATTTGGGGCTCCTAGGCAGAAAAGTGATCCAAATGCCTGTTGTGATCTCCCTGACTCTTAACCAGTGAACTAATCCATGAGGTAAATGGAGCAGTTACACTTTCTCTGATTTAGCACCTTGCTTATAGCATCACAGAAAGTGATTAAAGCCTTTCCTGGTACTTTCATTTCAGGCATGTTTCTTTAATTGGCTCCCCAACACCTGGCAGCTCAGCTCTCTTTCCAGCTCCACTGAACTACACACCAACAGTATGCATCCTTGATATAATGAGCTGAAAATGGCACCCTACATCTGTATTCTTTAAATGAGAATTTGTTCCCATTCATTTATTTATGTCTTTTCTCCTCATTATATGAAAAATGATGAAATAAATGTCAGACATTCTACAAAATACCTAACTTGTATTCTCAGAACTGTCAATGTCATTAAAAAGAAGGAAAGTGTGAGAAATCATACCAGTGAAAAGAAACCTATGGAGACATGGCCTCTAAATGAAATGTGGCATCCATGAAAAGGCTCTAAAACAGAAAAGCATCACCAGGTAGAAACTAAGGATCTCCAAATGAAGAATGAATATGAATATAGATAACAGAAAGGCATCAACATTAACTCATTAACTGAGATACATATACCATAGTAATGAGGATGTTAATACTATGTGGTGTATGGGAAAACATGTACTACCTCCCCCCCCCCTTTTTTTTTTCTGAAAAACTATCCTCAAAAAAATATTTAAAAAAATGAAATGAGTGAAAAACTTGTTCCATGATTTCATCATCACAATAATTGACGAATTTATTAATTATATAGATTAAAGAACACAGTGGGGAAAACAAAAACATTAAAAGTCTTTCTTGTTTGACTCAGTGGTGCAGGCCTGTCATCCCAGTGATGTAGGAGGCTGAAGCAGGAGGATCACAAATTTGAGCCAGCCTCGGGAGGCTCTAAGCAACTTAGCAAGACACTGTCTCAAAATAAAAAATCAAAAGGGCTGGGATGTGACTCAGTAGTAAAGCACTCCAGTATTTAATCCCTCATACCGAAACAAACAAACAAAAAAGTTAAGTCTGTGAAAGAATAATGCAGTTGAAAAACTTTGTTTGGCTAATAAATAAAAAATGACTTATTATATCATAGCAATAAAAAGACATGACTACAGATTTTAAAAACTTAAATTACAATGAAAGGAAAGTATAAACAATTTAATGTCAATACATTTAATATTAAAGTAGTAATCACAAAAATACAAATAACAATAAATGCTGGTAAGGATGTGACTTATAAATTATTGGTGGGACTACAACTTAGTACAATCATTTTGGAAAGCAGTTTAAAGTTTCCCCAAAAGGCTAGGAATGGAATTTCCAAATGATCCAGCTACCCACTCCTTGGCATTTATCCAAAAGAACTCAAATCAGCATACTATGGTGATGCATGCATACCCATGTTTATAGCAGCACAATGCACAGTAGTCAAACTATGGAACTACCATGTGTCTGTCAATGGATCAATGAATAACGAATATGTGATATACTTACACAATGGAATTTTATTCCATCATAAAGAGGAATGACATGAATTGAGTGTCAACATACTTTATATACAAACAGAGATACAAAAAAATGTGGTATAAATGTTTATTAAGAATTGTAATGCAAAAAAAACCAACACATGGATAAAGGCAAAAAAAAAGAAAGAAAGAAAGAGTAGCATTACCTTACATTAGGTAGAGGGAAATGAAAAGAGGGGAAGGTAGGGGATGTGGTGATAAGAAAGATAGTAGAATGAAACAGACATTATTACTTTATGTATATATGTGACTGTATGACCAATATGATTCTACAATATGTATACTCAGAAAAATGAGAAATTATATCCCATCTATGTATGATATATCAAAGTATATAAGTGCATTCTACTGTCATGTATAACTAATTAAAACAAACAAATAAATAAATAAAGGAATGAAATTATGTTATTTTCTTTTAAATGAATGAAACTGGAGAACATCATGCTAAGTGAAATAAACCAGAATTGGAAAGTCAATGATCAAGTTTTTCTCTTATATGCAGAAGCTAGAGAGAAATAAGAAATTTTAAAAGTTGAGGGGAATCTCATGAAAATAGAAGGGAGAATAGTGAAATAGAGAAAGAAAAATGAGCAGGAGGAAGAAGTGATGGAAAAGGGTAGGAACAGCAGAATAAAATTAACCAAACTTTGTCATGGAATGTATAAACAGATCAAAATGTATTCTACTTTTAAATAGAACTATAATGCACCAATTGGGGGAAAAAAAAATCAAGGCCAGGTTTGATGGTGTTTGCCTGTAATCCCAGCAGTTTAGGAGGCTGAGCAGGAGGATCTTAAGTAAAAAGACAGCTTCAGCAACTCAGATCCAGTTGCAAAGTAAAAAATAAAAAAATACGAGGGGGATGTGGCTCAGTGGTTAAACACTCCTGGGTTCCATCCCTGATTTAAAAAAAAAAGTTAAAAAAATATCAATATAAATTGGAATTCCTTAAAAAATAATCCAAGTCCCTCAAACAGCCAGAAGAGTTAGAAAAATGGAAAAGGCCTAGATCTATTAAGTAACTAGAATATCCAACTTAAAAGCACTCCTCAAAGAAAGGCCCTTTCATCAATGATTTCACAACTGAAATCCTTTAAATATGTTTAAATGGTAAAAAAAAAAAAAAAAAAAAACTTTTC